GGTGTCCTGTCCAGGGTGTGTGAGTGTGTGTGTGTCCTGTGATGGACTGGTGTCCTGTCCAGGGTGTGTGAGTGTGTGTGTCCTGTGATGGAGGATTGGAGGTCTATTCACAAGAGAAGCTCCATTTCGCACATCAGAGATATCTCAGACCTAGAATATTTTCACTGGAGAGGAAAATCAGACACACCCGAGTTCTCGTCCTGCGAGGGTCAGCAAGCTGAGGCTGCGCTGGGCTTGGAAATCCGAGCCAGTGCTGATAGACCAGACGATTCCTGACACACAGCTTCCCTGGAAACCTGGGATTTCTCTGTGCCACTCCAGGGACGCACTCCATGTCCTGGTCCTTCACACTGACCCAAGAAGCCCAGTGGATCCCCAAGTTCGCAGTCGTGGGGTATCTGGATGGCCTGCCCATGGAGTACTACGACAGCACCCACGAGAGGGTCGTGTCTCGACGGCACTGGCGCCCGGACCCGGCCCCCGCGGAGAACGAGGAGGAAAAGAAAGGGGCAGCCGAACACACTTACATATCCATGTTTGAAAAACTGCAGCTCGCGAAGAAGCACTTTAACCACAGCGGAGGTGAGTGACCAGACATTGGTATGTCCTCCATTATGCATTCACGCAGTTTTTTTTCCAGAAGCAGAATTATATATCGATGGGTCACCAATGAGAGCGGGCCATTTAGTCCTGCTTGGTAGTTATTTAATCCCAGGATCCCTGGCTTCTCTCCAGACACAGCTGGGCAGCTTGTTCCCCACCCCCACCCCCCTCTGTGTACAGTAGAGCCCCCTGTCCTGACTGGAGGAGATCACCCAGCTGTGTCTGGAGAGAAGCCAGGGTATCGGCTTCAACCACAGGACTGGGCAGCTTGTTCCCCACCCCCACCACTCTCTGTGTACAGGGGAGCCTCCTGTTCTCAGTTTTAACACAACTTCCCTGCAGTTTCCACTTGTGCTCTCTGGTTCCTGTTTCACACATTCCCGGACCTCAGGGATATCCGGCCCTGACAGGGTGAAGGAACTGGAGCTGTTTTAAGAACTGGAGGGGACTTTAGACGCATATTCAACATTTTGAAAAAAGGCATCGACAAAGTCAGAGAAGAGAAATTCTCGAGATTAACACTGAACCACAAGGCACAAGTGTTTAATGCATGGAAGTATTTAAATCTGACACCAGGTGGTGTTTCTTTACACAGAGGGTGGTGGGAATGTGGAACAAGCTTGTTTCAGGACATGCCTGGACTAGATACTCAAATGAATTGGCGTTTGCGTGTTTCTTGACAGTGGATGTGGAACTAATGCCTTCGCCAAAGAAGGGGGAGGGGTTCTCTGGGAGAGACACAGACTAACACTAAATGAGAAGCAGGGAGTATAGGACTTAGAAAAACAACTGTCACATGCACATGTATAGAACATAAAAAAGCCCCTTTAGGCCAAACAACACAGAAAGGCAGATCAGGACAGTTCCAGTGCGCTCAAGAATAATTAGCTCTTTCGTCAGTGAAAGAGTGAAGAGCTTCACTCATATAGCGCCTTGCTGGACCCTCCACTCAGAGCTCTTCCCAGGTCATGGGGATCCCTTCTAGCCCCACCAGTGTGCAGCCCCCACCAAAGACCGGGGGGGAATTAGGCCAGGACACTGGGGTAACACCCCTACTCTTCTCCAGAAACACCCCGGGATTGTTAAGGAGCACAGAGAGTCAGGACCTCGGTTTGACGGCGCCTGTTTACAGTCCAGTGTCCCCCGTCACTATACTGGGGCATCAGGACCCACACAGACCGCAGGGTGAGAGCGCCCCCTGCTGGCCCCCACTCACACCTCTCCCAGCAGCAGCAGCCTCAGCTCTCCCAGGAGTCTCCCCTCCAGGTACTGGCCAGGCTCACACCTGCTGGGCTTCAGTGGGGGGGCTGCCCATTGTGAGTCGCAGGGTGGTATGGCCGATCTGTGTTTATCTATGTGTGTGTGTGTGACAGGTCTGCACACTTACCAGAGACAGGCTGGCTGTGAGCTCAGCGACGATGGCACACAGCTGTTTCACGCCCGGGATGCCTATGATGGTCAAGATCTCCTCCAATACAATATGGACCACCTCCGCTGGGATCCTCTGGTGCCCGAACTAAAGAACGACGAGGCTCTGATGCACTCTGATGACATAGAGCAAAATAACACCTACCAGCCACTGTGCATCCAGGTCCTGAAGAGCTACCTGGAGCAGGAGAAGGACAGACCTGTGATGAGAGGTACTTAGAATGACAGACTGTGTCTGTTCTCCATCAGACACAGGGGGCAATTTCCCATCTACATCACCCCATAGTGCCGATTAGCTGTGTCCTTTTCCCTGGCAAGACTTCATGTAGCTACACCGAAAAGCTAAAGGACTAGTACAGTGGAGTCCATCCATTTATCGGCTATCCACTTTATCCAGTACAGGGTCACAGGGCAGGGCAGAGCAATCCATCACAGAAACACCCTCTCTCACACCAGAAGCCCAGAAGCCCGTTAACCCACCAGCGTGTCTCTGGACTGTGGGAGGAAACCAGAGCCCTCAGAGGAACGCAGGGAGAACACGCAAACTCCACCCAGACAGCACCCTGTTCAGACGTTCAGACTTGACATTCACTCTATAGCCCTCAGCCAGAGTCAGTCTGCTGTCCCAGCGCAGTCGATTGATGATTTTCCTATGCTGCAGACAGCAAAGTGGACCAGATACACTCTTTACTGCCCGGCACGGCTGTGGTCACACCCAGCAGTCAGCGGGATCAGGGCGTTAATGATGTGTAAGGGATGTGAGGTGTTTCTGTAGGCTAGACACAGCCAGGAAATTCAGAATGTTGTAGCTCAGCATCCAGGTCTGAAACATAACCAGTAACAGATACAGTGTAGCAAGAGCAGGAGTCATATGATGGCAAAACTAGTAGGTTGTCACATTGAAGTGTGACACCTGCAGGTGGGATTGATCTCCTGCCTGATGTTGTTGTCACGCCAGCGGCCTGAGTGATGGGTCTGTCACTGGGTGTGGTGTTTCTGTTGTGGTTACCCATACTACAGCATGAGCAGGCTTGATGTGACACAAGCAAGGCATTGCAGTCGGCACTGCCTGCTGGCATAAAAGATTGACTTTCTACACAAACAAACTCTCTAATCCCCCACACTACAGTCAAGCCCAGGGTCCAGGTCTTCCAGAAGACATCTGCCCTCTCTGGGGGGACGGAGGTGACCTGCCTGGCCACCGGCTTCTACCCCCGGGCCCTGGAGCTGACCCTGCTGAGAGACAGGCGTCCCGTCCCGGAGCAGGAGCTGACAGGGGGGGAGGTGCTGCCCAACGGAGACGGGACCTACCAGCTGAGGAAGAGCCTGGCGCTCAGCAAGGAAGAGGAGGAGCGCCGAGAGAGACATCGCTACACCTGCAGGGTCCAGCACAGCGGTCTGGACAACATGCTGGAGGTGGCCCGAGGTGAGAGAGAGAGATTCTCTCCAGCTGGAGCAGGGCTTCAGGGCAGAACAGACATTCGGCTGTTTGGCTCAGCTCTGCAGGTTCCTCGTGGACATTGTGACACATAGTCGTGTGAATCTAAACCACTAGACTCTAGACTGTGGACAGGAAACAGAGCATATTCAATCACACCCCAGAAACAGTCACAGACACACATTCCCAACTAGAGCTCATGGAGTCGGGCTCATTCTTCCCTCTGCTGTGTTGACAGAACCGGAACCCGACCTGGACACTGGGCTCATCGCTGGGGTGGTGATCGGGGTCCTGATTGTGGCTCTGGTGCTGCCCGTCGCCGCCTGTGTCCTCTGGAGGAAGAAAGGACGAGGTGAGAGAGGGAGAGAGGTGTGGAGATCAGTGTGTACAGCAGGAGAAAACGTCATGACCTTCTGCAGGAGTCACTCAGTCTGCAGGGAATCAGAGCTGCTCTCTGTGAATGAACACAGGTGGAAATTCACCTGACAGCCCTTTAGACACAGCACAGCTCAGAGCAGAGCAGAGCGCTGCTGTCTCACTGACGCCGATCTGTGTTTTTACATCCTAGGAGCCTGTAGGAGGTCTGATGTCAAGTACACTGAGGCCCAGGGTGAGTGTGAGATCAACTGACTGGAGGGATGTGAAGAAATATAAGTTATCTGGTGTGGTACTTGTCTGACAGTTTATATTTATTACAGTAAGATAGACACAAAGAGTGGTGGGGGTGTGGAACAAGCTGCCCAGCCAGGCTGTTGAACCCGATGCTCTCTGACCTCTCTGTGACCTCTGACCTCTCCCTGTGGTGTCTTCCAGGACGAGACCAGAGTGGCCCGTCATCAAACAGCTCTGGTCCCTAGAGAGGCCGTACGGACCGAGAGAGGAGCTCTGCAGAGTGTGGACAGAGATCTCGCAGGACCTGAATCACTTAGAACAGAATTCATCGCTGTGGGGCTGGGTTTCTTTGGTCATTTGTATCAGCTACATTGCATAGATTTGATCATCAAAAAAAAAATGAAATCACATCTTAATAAAGTGAATAACTAATAACGAATTTTTTTTGTGCCGCAATACTGGAAGTGAGGATAACATCTGCACCTCCAAGGTTGTAAATAATAATAAAAATCTAAATCCTTGTTGGCCTGTCAGTATGTGGCTTTATTGTTGGTTCTGGATATTTAATAATGTTGTATGAATGCACCTTGACGTGTTTCAGGTGCCTTTTCCTGTAGCAGTGGTTCATGCTGTTGATTCAAAACTGTTAACCTGACATTACTGTATGACAGCATATGCAGAGATAAAGGAGGGTCTCCGGAGACCAGATATTTTTCCCTACAGTGGCCACCAGGGGGAGCTGATGTACGTTTTTTTCCTGTGTTTATTGCTTGAGCACAGCGCTTCGTTGAGGGGGTCTCTGTGAGTTTTGTACCCACCTTTCCTGAAGCTGCAGTATTTTATAAGGTGGACATTCAGAACTGATGTGAACCGGACTGGAGGGCCGCTGGGCACGATGGCTACTATGTCATTCTGTGCGACGACGTTCAGTACCCAACCGGGCTAAAGACGTCCAGGCGGGCATCTGCGTCAGCAGGCGCAGGCTGCAAAGGAACAAGTAAGAGAAGAGAGAAAACAAAACGTTTCGGCCTCACACCTGAAGAAGGCTCCACGGCCGAAATGTTGTGTCACACACACAGCCTGGACAGGACACCAGTCCATCACAGGACACACACACACTCACACACCCTGGAGGGGACACCAGTCCATCACAGGACACACACACACACACCCTGGACAGGACACCAGTCCATCACAGGACACACACACACTCACACACACCCTGGACAGGACACCAGTCCATTACAGGACACACACACACTCACACACCCTGGACAGGACACCAGTCCATCACAGGACACACACACACTCACACACCCTGGACAGGACA